AATTATAAATTAAGCTTTATTATGGGTGTGTCTGTCTGTAGTGGAAAAATCTTAGTGTACGTAGAGTTTGGCACGACCTGAGGCTTCAGGTACTCTCTGGAGGTCTTGGAAAACATCTCCTGTGGATAGGGGGAGCTATTGAAAATCTGCAAGTTCGCTACAGAAGCTCCATAATTTTAGTTCCTTTTGAAGCTTGCAAGAATCGCACTTACTACTTGGAAAACACAGTGAATAAAGAAGGAAAAAATGCAACACCTGTCTTGCTTTTCAGTGGTTTTGCAGAATCAAAGTGTTGATGACAGGTGTCTGCCTATGGAAATATTCCAAGTGAAAAACGAAGAGAAAATGAGTGAACTACCTCACTGTCAGCTGCAGTCACCAACTATCAGGATGTCGGCAGCAGCTGCTGACGTCCCAGCAGGAGAGGCAGCCCTGAATCAGGCACCTCCCAGAACTTACAACACATCTATGGGAAAGCAAACTCGGGCCCCGTCAAGGCTCCAGATCCTATGGCCAAGTTATAGGGGGAACAGAGGAGCTTGCAAGAAGGTGTCATGGAGATGCGATCAGCACAGTTCAGCCTGTGGGAAGTGCAGCTCCTCTGCAGGTAGAGGAAGGGAGGGAGGGGGAACCTGGAAAGTGGAGACTGAAGAGGTTCGTCCACCAGTTGCAGCGCATGGAGTTCATCCGGCTCCTTTGATGTTTGCTGCAACCTCTCGTGGCCTTTATAGTACTCGGAGAATCCTTTGACCCTTGGCCAATTGCCACTTCTTTCTCGGCCTCCTGCTCGTCTTCCTGCATAGAACTGCCTCAGCCCAGGTCCTCTTCTTGTTCCAGGCCACAGGTCAGAGAGCAGCCAGTGAGCTGCCTGATTTGATTCTATGTCCTTCTTTGATTGACTCGACTGGGGGTACCAGGCCACTGGGGAGCCCTCTAGGAAGAGGTGATGTGTGATGGGTCTGATGCTTAACACCCTGAAAACTGGCATAGGGACCAAGAGGGAGAACTAACAAACTTCTGACCTGATACGTTTTTCTGTTTGGTTTTTCACACAAAATGTGAGTGTGCAGGTGTAGAGAGATGGAAGTGATACGGTATACATATGTGCAGGAGGATTGATTAGGGTACTGACTCACGTGATTATGACAACTGAGAAGTCCCAGGACAGGGCCTCTGCAGGCTGGAGACCCCAGGATGCCGACAGCATGGCCTAGTCCAAGTCCAAAGACCTCCAAACCAGAGAAGCTAAGGGTTTAACTCTCCATGGGAAGCCGAAAGTCCAGGTAATAGTTAGGCCAGTGCTGGTGTTAAGTCCTGGGGTTCCAAAGCCAGCAGGTCTGCAGTTCTGATGTCCAAGGTGGGAGTAAAGTGAATTGAGCATGTCCCAGATCATGGAGCAACAGACCAATCCACTTTCCATATTTATTCTTTCCAGGCGCCCCCGCCAGCTGGTGGTGCCTGTCCGTATTAAGACTGGGTCTCCTCACCTTGTCCTCTCAGACACACTTGGTGATCTCTGGAAACGTGCTCACAGACATGCCCAAAACAGTGGCCGGCCAGTTCTGTAGGCGTTCCTTACTGCAGTCAAATTGACACCTAGGGTGAGCCCTCACAGCAGGCCAGAGAGAGAATGCGCCTGGGCCTGTTTGCCCCGGGATCTGGGATGGGGAGAGGAAGAGCAGCTCCGGAGGAGAGCTGGGTGAGGGGTTCTGGGCAAGTCTGCCGTGGATTTCAGGTGGCCTCTCCTGTGGAATTGGTGTGTGGAGATGCCCGGGCATCCCCTTCTCAGTGGGCTGTGCAGGACCTCAGCCTGGGGTTCTTCTGCTTATGAACTGCATGTCCACGGGTGCTTGGTTTGAATGTTGGACACCTGTCTCCAAGGTCAGAGGCATGGTATTTGGAGGTGATGGGTCAAGGGATCAATGTGTTGTTAATCTGTTATGTGCTTAAATTATAAATTAAGCTTTATCATGGGGGTGTCTGTCTGTAGTGGAAAAATCTTAGTGTACGTAGAGTTTGCAACGACCTGAGGCTTCAGGTACTCTCTGGAGGTCTTGGAAAACATCTCCTGTGGATAAGGGGGAGCTATTGAAAATCTGTAAGTTCACTCCATAATTTTAGTTCCTTCTGAAACTTGCAAGAATCCCACTTACTACTTAGAAAAAAAACAGTGAATAAAGGAGGAAAAAAATGCAACACCTGTCTTGCTTTTCAGTAGTTTTGCAGAACCAAAGTGTTGATGACAGGTGTCTGCCTATGGAAATATTCCAGGTGAAAAACGAAGAGGAAGAGGTCCTCCCCTCCTCTCCCCTCCCCTCCCCTCCCCTCCCCTCTGTTCCCTCCCCTCCCCTCCCCTCCCCTTCCCTTCCCTTCCCTTCCCTTCCCTTCCCTTCCCTTCCCTTCCCTTCCCTTCCCTTCCCTTCCCTTCCCTTCCCTTCCCTTCCCTTCCCTTCCCTTCCCTTTCCATTTGTTTATTTGAGAGAGTTACAGAGAGACAAAGGGAGAAACAGAGAGAAATGTCTTCCTTCTGTTGGTTCAACTCCCGAAATGGCCACAACAGCCAGAGCTGAGTCAATCTGGTCAGGAGCCAGGAGCTTCATCTGGGTCTCCCATGTGGGTGCAGGGGTCCAGGCACTTGGGCCATCAATGTATTGTTTTTAAAGGAATGGCTTTGCTGTGGAAGTGAGCCCTCTTGGGCACACTTGCTCCCTCTCAACACGTCATGTCCTGAGCCAGAAGGAAGGCCCTCACCAGATGCTGAGCGGATGCTGGTGCCATGTTCCTAGACTTCTCTGATTCCACAGCTTTGAGAGAAATAAGCTTCCTTTCCTTGTAAGCTACCTGGTCTTCCTTATCAACTACAGCAGCAAGAACCAGGCTAAGACACTGGGCAACTTAATTAATGTCTGTGTGCCTCAATTTCATCATTTTGTACAATCAGGATCTAGAATCGCGAAGCTTGCTCTGTAGGCTTTGTCCTGAAGATTTGGGACAGCAAATGAATCAGTCTGGGAAAAGAGTTGACTTCAGGGCCTGGCACAGGGCACAGAATGAAGGGCTGGGGTCAAGGTGGGTCTGCCTCTTGGGAGGCTGTAGGGAATGACAGTGAGGACGCATGCGAGGTGCGCCGAGGGGCTCTGGAAGGGTTGAGGTCCAGCCCCCTGAGTCCTGGGGGTGGTTAGCATCAGGCTCACACTGTGCACTTGCTTGGCTCACCCTTGCTCACAGGCCGTGGAAGCTGACGGTGAGTGTAGAGGCACGTCGTGCTGCCCTCAGAGGAGGGAAAGGTGCATTTCCCTAAAGCCAGCACCCTGAGGCCTGTGGGAGGAAAATTCCCCAGGTAAAGATTTTCATCAGACACATGGGGCTGGGGTACAGAGAGACACAGAGAGGGGACCAAGGAGAGGGAGGACGCTCAGCCCAGGTGACACAGGAGTTCCAGCGTGGAAGAGAAGTGTGGGGCTGCACCCACAGAGGAACTGGAGTCTGGAGAGAGAAGACCAAGGAAGGAAGGCATCTGTAGAAGAACAGCCATGGCAGAGGGTCTGTGCGAGGCTATGGCTTGGGCTCGCGGTGCTAAGGAAAGGTGGGCTCTTGTTGGAGACCCACTCGCTGTCCTACCATCACGTGGTAAAGCTGGGCCTGAAACACAGGTCTTCTGCCTTCCGAACCTGGACCTGGACTTTTTCCAGAATGTGCCTCTCTCTCAAGATTACAGAGAACTCCAAAGACGATGAGTCAATGGGAAATTGATGTTTTGAGGAAGATGAAGGACTTGCTTTGGATGCTGGGCACAAGGGTTAGATCCCTGGATGGACAGGTTGAGGGCTGGCATTAGAGGCACGGGGGAACGGGGGTGGGAGGAGAGGACCAAGAAGGCTGGAGAGACATTCCCAAGGACTTCCCAGTGGAGCTTGGTGACTGGGACACCTAGAGGACCAGGCCAGCCTGCCTCCTGGCTGCTGTCCCCAGCCGACAACTGCCCTTTTTTTTTTTTTTGACAGGTAGAGTGGACAGTGAGAGAGAGAGAGAGACAGAGAAAAAGGTCTTCCTTTGCCATTGGTTCACCCTCCAATGGCCGCTGCGGGCGGCACGCTGCAGCCGGCGCACTGCGCTGATCTAAAAGGCAGGAGCCAGGTGCTTCTCCTGGTCTCCCATGGGGTGCAGGGCCCAAGCACTTGGGCCATCCTCCACTGCACTCCCTGGCCACAGCAGAGAGCTGGCCTGGAAGAGGGACAACCGGGACAGAATCTGGCGCCCCGACCGGGACTAGAACCCGGTGTGCCAGCGCCACAGGTGGAGGATTAGCCTAGTGAGCCACGGCACCGGCCACAACTGCACTTAAATTGCCAGATGTCCCAGTCTGCTCTGCACTGGGTGCTCCTTGGACTTGGATAATCTTTCAGAGTTGGGGTCACAGGTAAGTAAGGTTTGAAGCTGTGCCTTCTCATCCATTGCCAACGACGGTCAAGTCAAGGGATTCCTGGCAAAGGAGGCTGAACCTGAACAGCCTATTGGTGGCCACGATTCCCTTCTCTTATCCAGAGTAGGTTGTATTTCAGAAGGATGCTAGGAGCGTAGAGAGACACAGCCTCAGGATCCTGTGCACATCTGTTGAACTGGAGCTCTGGGGTGGGGGTGGTACCCAGTGATCTGTGTCTACATGGGTCCTCCACGGGACTCTGGCACTGAGGAAGTAGATCACTGGCCTTGTCTGTCTCTCACTGGCCAGCTCTGCTAGAGTTACTGCCTGTGGAAATGAAATGATCCCAAGAATCTCCTTCATGCCCCTGTGATCTGAGCTGCCCCATAAGATCAGGCACACACAGTGCCTGGGCCAGGACCTGACACATCGTAGGTATTGACTCTGGGGTGGGGTACAGCAATGATGCCTCCCACATCTGAGTTTGAGGACACCCCCCTTTTAGAGTCAGCTGGCCTCACCAAGGAGGAAGAGAACAAAGGCATGGCAACTGCTGATGTCACAATGCCTCCATTTACCCCTGGGGCCTGGCTTCTGGACCATTCCAGGAGGGAGGTGAGGGGTTGGCTGACAGCAGCAAGCAGAGGATCCTGGGGCCAGTGGGATCGAGAGCACGAGAGATGGCTGGAGACAGAAAATAAGCACCGGGCAGGCAAGCCAAGGAAGATGGGGGAAGCACAGAACCCTCTCAGGTAACAGTGGCGGGGATCCTGTTTCCTCACCTTGGTACACCAGGCATTCTCAGAGAGAGAAAAGTCCAGGGGAAAGTCAAAGGCACACACCCAGATACCAGGAGGCCATGCGGTTTCATAGGAGGACCATCCTTCTGCTTATTCCAGAATTCCAAGAATCCTCAGGGGTCCCTACACCTGGGACTTGGTAAACATACTGATGTCCAGCCCCTGCCTCCCTCACTCCCCACCCCTGCCCTCCCCCTAATCCCTGAAATTCTGATTTACTTTGTCTGCAGAAGGCTCAGCCCTGGGTATGTTAACAGGTGATTCTACTGTGTAATTAGTGCTGACAACTCTACTTAAGCAACCAGCCAACCAAAGCACACACAAAAGTGTACCCAGGGAGACTTTGTCTACTTCCTGTTGTGGTGATGAAACAGCTGATGCTGGGTACTTTCTAAAGAAAAAGGGTTTATTTGGCTCCCCAAGACTGGGCGGCCCCATTGGCTCGCCCTCCCCATGAGGGTGCAGCACAACGTGGTGGGAGAATGCGCCAGAACGATCGCTGCATCGCAAGGTGAGAAAGGAAGGGAGAGGGCTCCAGGGGTCAAGCCTGCTCCTTTTATAACAACCCTCCAGTGACCCAGTCACCTCCCACTAGACTCCACCCGCTACAGGTTCCACAGCCTCCCAACGGCACCCCATGGAGGGTGGAGCTTCCAGCATATGCACCCTTGGGGGGGACACATCCAAACCATAGCTAGACCACAGCCCCGTGTTCCTTCCTGGGCAGTGGAGGTGAGGGTTGACACTACTGTGTCTCCCAAGGATGCATGAAGGAGTCTCATCATACTTCAGATCCAAGGATCGGCGCCTGCCTTTACTACTCACAGCCTGTAGGGGGCAGGCACTTGATCCAGTGGTTTACATGCCAGTGCCCCCATCTCTGAGTACCTGGGTTTGATATTCACCTCCGGCTTCCTGCCAGTGCAGACCCTGGAGGGAAGTGGTGATGCACAAGTCGTTGGGCTCCTGCCTCCTATGTGGGAGACCTGGATGGGGTTCCTGATTGCTGACTTCAGCCTGGCCCCAGCCCTGGCCATTGCAGGCATTTGAGGGTAGGAGCTCTTGCTGTCTGTCTCTCTTTCTCTCCTCTCTCTGTCTCTTTTTTTTCTGTGTCTCAAGTAAATAAATAAAATAAAATAAAACTTCCAGAGGCATAACTTACACCCAGAACACCCCCCCCCCCCCCCCCGCAGAATCAGGCTGATGTTGTCTTCATGGGACTTAACCTAAAGTTGTACCCCGTCCTACGCTGCTTCTCCCTCCCCCTTCCTTGACTGCATGCCATTTCAGGGATGACTTCTGAGTGCTTACTCCCCGGGCACTTGTGCAAGGCTCCCTCCCCAACTACAGAACATTCAGGCCACTCACTTAAGGCCTGGATGCACCCCTAGGTGGAGCAGTTCAGAATCCCCTTCACCCACTGTGCTGCCAACATAGGCCTGAGGTCCCTGTGGTAAGGACTGGGTGCAGGCCCCACCATGGGCAGCTCTGGGTGCCTCCTGTCTACCATTTTGGAAGGGGTTAGGTAGTGTGTGTATGTGTGTGTGTGTCTTTGTGGATGTGTCTCTGTGTTGGTGTGTATATCATGGTGTTTGTGAGTGTGTCTGTGTTGCTATGTGTATATGTTGTGGTGTTCGTGTGTGTGTATGCTGGTATGTGTGATGGTATATGTGTGTTGGTGTGTGTGTCTCTGTATGTTGTGTATGTGTCAGTGTGGTAGTGTGTTAGTGCAATTATGTCTTGGTGTATATGTTGGGGTATAGCTATGCATGTGCCTATATATTGATGTGTGTGTTGGGGTGTGTATTTCCATGAGTTAATGTGTGTGAGTGTGTGTGTGTTGAGGGTGTATTGGGGTGGTTGTATCTGTATATTGGTGTATGTGTTGGTATGTGTGTGTCTAAGCATGTTTGTATGTGTCAAGGTTCTGGTGTGTGCATGTGGTAGTATGTTGGCACATCCGGTTATGTCAGGGTGCTGGTGTGCGTGTGTGCATGTGTGTTGGGGTGTTGGGATGTGTGTCTGGGCACGTGTGTGCATGCATGTGCCTGTGCACGTTCCCACTCACGCTCCCTGGGGCCCTCTCCAGCCATGTCTTTCCTTCCAGTCTGCCCGCTGGCTTCTGCTCAGCACTGTCAGCAGCTCTGGGGATGGACGCAGGCTGCGGGGCCCTGGGGAGTGAGGCAAGAGCAGCAGCTGGTACGGCCGTTCCCTGGGGAATTTTGGCAGAGAAAAGGAGAAAAATAGAAGTAAGGGGAAGCTGGAGGTCAAGGGAAGAATGTTGTAAGGAGGGGAGACTTGGAAATGTCGTGAGGAGGGACATTTGAAAAGTGCAGAGGACAGGGTGGGGCCGACTGGGAGAGGCGTGAGGAGCCGGCGCCAGAGTGGGGGAACAGGACAAGAGAACGGACACTGGTCGCTGTTACTCAGCGTGCAGGCTGCTGGTGGCCCCAGCGTCTATGCTGTCACTCAGGAGTTAGCCCAGGAAGCAGACGCGAGAAGCAGGCTTTGGAAAGGCAGTGAGCACGCCCCTGAGGTTGGTGGGGCTGCCCAGGCTCATGTGTGTCATGTCCACTTCCTCATTTGACTTGGCCCAGAGGCTCTGTCCCTGACGGGCTCAGGATTCCGTTTCAGACAGGGACGCGTCAACCTCTCAAACCTGAAGTCTTGCCAGGCCCAGGGGCTTCCATCCCCTCCCCATACCCATCATCAAGGTCATCAACATTTCACCAGAGAAAATTGAGGCCAGCAGAGGTCGGTGACTTGCCCAAAGTCACACCGTCAGCAATCACCAGAACAAAGACTTGAACCCAGCCCCGTGTGCCACCAATGTTCAAGCCCTGGACTTCCATGACGTAGTCCTCCTCCATAGTCGTGGGTTCCTGGTATGCTGTTCATCCTCTGTTGCCTGCTTACTCTTCCAGTGTTGCTTTGCCTGCTCCTCCCCCCCCCCCCGCCCCCGCCTGCCTGACTTGGACCCTTAGCTCATCACACATTGGCCAACTAGTGCATTTCAGCTCAGAGTATTCATTCAATGCTGGCCCCTGGCCAGACCCCAGCTCTGGACCCAGAAGTTTCTGAGGCTTCCCCAGGGCCAGTTGTCCTCAGGCCACCCATACCTCTGACAATGGGACAGTTAGATAGGCAGGCAGGAGCAGGGACTCAGAAGGAGGTATGGAGAAGGAGATATTTAAATTGGAGTTGGCCAAGGCAGCATCTGATGGCTCCCAGTAAGTGGAATCCACTGCAGAGGTGGCATGTGGGGAGCAGTGTCCATGGGTCATAGACGTCAGAAGCAAAGGTTGGCCGAGCTGCAGCGAGTGCCTCGTGGAAACCAGACACCAGGAATGTGCAGCAGGTCAGGCCTGCTGCCTGGGAAATACTTGGCCTACATTGATTTTCAATTTCCATTATTTCTAAAATACATGTTGATTTTACCTTTTTTTTTTTCTTGAGGCTTTTTTGAACATGGGAAAGGGTGATTTTGACCTGGTTGTAGACGCTTGTTTTTGGCCTTAGAGAGATAGGGGCCAGCTTGCTAACTGCACCCTCAGGTTAGTGGCTGATGGCCAGGTCTGTCCTCCTCGGTGCATCTCTGGGCTCTGTCTTCTCTAGCTCATTGTTTCAGTCACACTCACAGGGAACCCAGCACCTCCCTCCCCCCACCCATCCCTTGTTTCTCATTTGTTTTCCATCACACCCGAGACCTTCTCCAGGCCACGCCATCTAAGGCTCCTGACTGATTCTAAAGAGACTTGCCCACTACTGCCCCTGCCCCGAGCCCCACCCCGACCCCGACCCCACCCCCACCCCCACCACGCACACATCTCACTGCTAACCCTTCAGCTGTGCTCTGACAGAGCCTGGGTCATGGACAAACGTCCAGCAATTCTAGGCAATCTTCTGTTTCCCCTCCTTGTAGCAATTCTTGTCCCATTTCCACCCCCTTCCACTCCCTTCTGCTCTGTCATCCCTTCACTTCAAAACATTCTTTTTAATGTTGAAACACAGTCAGCCTTCGTATCTGCAGGTTCTGCATGCCAAGATTCAACCGAACTCAGAAGATATTAAAAATAATTGGATCAGTTCTGAACACACAGAGACTTTTTCCTTGTCCTTATTTCCTAAATAATGCAGTATAGCATCTGTTGACACGGCATTAAGTGCTCTAAGTAATCTGGGGATGACTGACAGCATACAGGACGTGCACAGTTCGATGCCGTTGCTATGCCAGTTTATGTAAAGGACTTGAGGATTTGTGGATTTCGGGGTTCTTGCTGGAGGGCGGATGGAGACCTTTGAGCCATCTTGTGACTCTGCCATCTCCACCTCGATTTCCTTCCCTTCTGGGGAAACGGAGCGAGTGAAGTTGGGAGGTCTCACGGGCCAGACCTGTGAGTAGCAAGAACTCAGATACAGAGCTTGTCTCGGACGCAAGGTAGGGAGAAGAGTGTTGAGCGAGAGAGTTCTTGGCTGGGGTCCTTCTTTCTGGGAACAAATGGGTAATTAGGTCTGGAAGTGCACATCTTTGGTGGAAAACCATAGGTAGGTCTCTGTTGGGGGAAATCTTTCTGAAAATGAGAGCTGATGACGCAGCTCCCTGATGGGAATCATCCGGCAGTCACCGTGGTGTTCAGTGGGAATGCTCTAGGCGGAGGACACAAGTAGCACCTGGCTCCAGGAGGGGAGCCTTCATGGTCTGACTTCCACTTTGTTTACCATCTCGTTTCTTGCTACTGTGATTACACACACCTCTGTGATGTGATGGAAGCCTTTTGGAAGTCCCTTAGTCTGTTATGCTTTCCTTGCCCTTATTCAACCTGAGACTCGGAACTGGCAGTTGCATTGATCTCACTTTTGGCTAATCTTTGCTTTAGGCTTCACTTTAATCTTCAGCAATACTGAAATACATTTTAATTCCTCCAAGACTCTGGCTCCCTCTTCTCCTTCAGTGACCTGGATATCTCCCTCTCATATCAACTCAGCTGATATTTCTGTCAAAGCAAGTGGCCCTCAGATGGGCACTGAACTATATTCATGCTGGTCTGGGGCAAGGAAAATGCCCCAATTGACTTGTTCTGCAAGCATTGCTTCCTAAGCCACAGACACTGATCCTCACCTGGTAACTTGTTAGCATCCCCCACCCTCGGTCTACTGAATCAGAGGCCCTGGGTGTGGGCCTCAGCAATGCATGTGACTCTGGCCCTGAGGAAGTGGACCACTGGCCTCATCACCTCTGCCACTGTCTGGGTCTGCCCAGAGTACCTGTTTGTTGAACTGAAATGATCTCAAGTCATCTCTACCCCAGGGAGCCTTATTGACTTTCCTATGCAGGGTGAGAAATGACTCTTCTATGTCCTTATGATACCCGTGCCTTCTTCTGTCATGAACTCCCCATGCCAGGCTGCAACTGTGGGACAGTGACATCCCTATCGGTCAGGCTTCTGATGTCTTCTGCTCTCTCTCCCTGTGTCTGGTGCACAGCAGGTGCTCAGTAGCCATTTATATAGTTTTAAGTTTTAGGACATGAGTGGAGGAAAATCTAGGCAAATTATTTCCCCCAGTGGAACTTACATTCTAAGAGGGAAGGCAGAAAATAAATTATAGACAAACAAATGTACAATAATGGCTGATAGTGATGAGTTCTGCCATGATAATGAAATAAAATCATGTGATGGAAGTCCAAATGACCCGAAGCCAGCCATGGAGCAGTCTGCGGGCAAGAGCATTCTGGGTCGGGGGAAGGGCTGGAGATTGGGGGAGAGAGAGACAGAGAGAGAGAGAGAGAGAGACAGACAGAGAGAGAGAGAGGAGATATACAGCAGCAGCCATGGTAGGAGTGAGAATCTCATTTCAAGGGTTCTGGGGAGACCACTGGGGAGGGATATTTAGGTTGGGGAGGGTGCTATGCATACTGGCACATATTTTTAGAAAGATCACCGTGCTGCTGTGCATACAAAATAAATTATATGGGTGAAAGAGGCTGTGGGGATATCCAGGTATGTACAGGGGTGGCACCAGGCATGTGGTGTTTGATCATGTGCATCTTGGAACCAGTGGTCTACATCCAAATCCAGGCCCCACCACAAGAGGTGTATGGTTTTGAGCTAGGAGTGAACCTTCCTGTGCCTCAAGTTCACCCTCTGTAATAGTAGTACTTAACTCATGGTTTGTTGAGAATTCTAATCGCTTAATGCATGTGAAACACTGACACCTATGGGGTGAGTTATGGTTATTCTGTCATTGTTATTTGCAGTAGTAGTTGTGATGGTTGTGAAATGGAGAGGAAATGACAGTATCAGAGTATTTCTGCTGGTTGAGTTGACATGATTTGCTGGTAAGTTGGACCTTGAGGGTGAGGGAAAGAAGAGAGGAAGACTTCCTAGTATTTTGGTGCTGTTGGATGCAATGGGGACAGCCCAGAGAAGGAGCAGGTTTTGGTGAGTGGCTAGGGAGACAGGTGGCCAGAGCTCAGTTAGGACAGGGAAGGTCTGGCAGAGTTTGTCTACATGAGCCAGGTGCTCAGGGAAGAGCCCAGGGCAGGAGATGCACATCTGGGAGCTGGGTCTCTTGCTCACAGAAGAACGCCACTCAGTACACTCGGATCAATGAATGGATCCCTCAGGGCTCGGCAGTGGGTTCAGTGCTGCGCTGGCAGTGAGGCAGTGGTGAAACTCAGGCAGAGGTGGGTTGCCATGCCGCACATTCAGTGGTTTGTACCTTTGGCCCCTTCATAGACCCAAGTAGCTGTAGCTGGTGCACCTCAGTGTCCCAGCAGCCTCATCACTGAATTTTGGTGGCAAAGTAGTCAACTTGGTCAATTTTCTCTTGCTCTAATCAAACCCCCAAGACTAGGTAATTTATGAGAAATAGACATTTAACTGGCTCATGGTTCCAAAGCCTTGGCAGTCCGTGCTGGTGCCTGTATCAGCTCTGCGTCCAAGGAGGATGTTCTTGTTGTGTCAGAGAAGGCATCATATGGGGAGACAGAACCAACAGCTTTATGACAGGCCTACTCTCAAGAGAACCATTTAATCCATTCATTCACGTCCCAAGCAATCACCTGTTAAGTGTCCCACCTGGTCCCACCTCTCACGACCTTACCGTAGGATTCAGTTCTCAACGTGAGTTTTTGGTGATGACATTCAAGCCACAGCAGTAATCTTTGGACTCTCTCTGCATTGTCTTTTTTTTTTTTTTAATAAAATATCTTCATCTTAAGGGCATATGCGTTACTTCTTTGTGGCATGTGTTTACTTAAAGAATGTGGGGAGCAATCCGGACTGGACTGAGTTACTGGAATTAAGACTTATTCTATGCATCTGCTCTCCCACAATATGGCGCTGGGAGAGAAGTAAACAGCTTCCGCACAGCTGCCTCCAGTTCAACTAATAAACTGTAGGACTTGCTCCTGATTGGAGGAGAGCAGCGTACTCGGCGTGTGGGCAGCCGAGTTAGGATTGGCGGAGGAGGACTATAAAGGAGGAGAGAGACGGCATGCACCAGGAACATCTATGGGGAACATCTAAGGGAACCTGTGCAGCCCCCGAGAAGAACCGGCCGGCGGTGTGCCGCTCCCCTGCGGAAGTAGGGAATGTGGCCAGGGGGAACTGCCCTTCCACGGAGGTGGAAGGGATAGTAGCCAACCCGGGAAGAACCAGCAGCAAACCCGGGGAGGGCCGAGCAGACGAAAGAACAGCGCAGGGTTTAGTGTCGTTCCTCCACGAAGAGGGGGAGCGACAAAAGAATTATTTATTTATTTGAAAGAGTGTAGAGGGGGAATGAGAGAGAGAGAGAGAGAGAGAGAGAGAGAGAGAGATCTTTCATCTTCTGGTTCACTTTCCAGATGGCTGCAATGGCCAGGGCTGGGCCAGGCTGAAACCAGGAGCCAGGAGCTTCATCTGGGTCTCCCATATGGGTGTAAGGGGTCCAAGGACTTGGGCTATCGTTTGCTACTTTCCCAGGCATATCAGCAGGGAGCTGGATTGGAAGTGGAGCACCCGGGACTCGAACCTGCACCCATATGGGATGCCAGTACTGCAGGCAGTGGCTTTACCTGCTATGCCACAGCGCCGGCCCCTCTGCATGGTTGTTGAACCACTGCTAACTTACAGGTGTCCTCTGACATTCTGGCCATGAGACATCGTCCAGCAGTTTCTCACGAGGGGCATTTGGGCAGAATTTTAGGCAGAGGGATGCAGGGACAAAAATGTTCCTTCTGGGATCCATTTTACAGCTCTTGGGCCCAGCAAGACCTTTCTCTCTGGTCTCCAGAGCCAGAGGAAACGGAGTGGAGAAACGGAAGTCATTCAGTCGCAGTAAAGAGAAATGCCCGCCGGAGGCCACATCCCATGCTGCGTGCCCTCAGCTTTTGGTTGGATGGATTGCACCCTGGCCATGTGCACAGAGCTCCCTTTCTTCTCCTCCAGGAAAAGTGACTCTTTCACAGCCTGCTGGGAGGGAGGGGAATGGAAGGTCCCAAGGCAGCCTGAGCCCCTCTGCTTCCTCCACCGTGCACAAGTCCGGAGCCCATGCCCGGCCGTGGCATACAAGCAAAGTCCTGGAAGCAGAGAAAACAGCTGGCTCCTTCGCCAGAGGCTGCGGCCAGCGTTGCCCATGTTTCCATGGCGAGGGAGTAGCGCCCTGTGCTGACCTAAGCCTCGCCCCTGTGTCGCCAGAACACAGCCTGCAGAGCCCCGCCCGGCCCTCCAGGGCTGCAGCCCCAAAGCCGAGAGCTAGCGAGCGAGGGAGCGCTTAGCGGGGGCTTTTCTGGGAAGCTGCTGAGCTCAGACCCTGCTGGCCCCACATTCCTGCACGATGAGGGAGGGATTCCAGTGTTTACTCTGAACAGTGTTTTCCTGTGTCTGAATCGACTGGGTGTTAAATTCTTCCAGATTTCTGGCTCCACATCGTAACTCCACCAGGACAGAAACAGGTTGACGGCCACTGGCAGGGGAGCCAGAGCGGGAGTCGGGCCGGGCACCTTCTGCTTGTGGAATTTCCACCCAGCGGATGGCGTGGCGCCTGGGAGGGGTCGGTGGTGGTTGTGGTCTCGGTTTGCAGGGCTCTGCACTTGCGTCTTTCGCATTTCCCACCCTAGAGGGCAAAAGTTAGCTTCTTGTCCTTGTGCAAGGCAGCCGGGAATGAGAACAAGCGGAGTTTTGCAGTTCAGCGTTTGCTGTGTTCCCTCCATGAGGATCAACCCAGGAGGTGGCCTCATAAGGAATTTATTTGGTGGGAAGTTAGGAAACCTCAGTTGCATTCCAGGCTCCGGGGCCCCCGCGGTGCGGGGAGGGCTGGGGACACACGTGAGGTCAGAGCCGGAAGGGCGCCTGGCTGTGGTGGACCCCAACCCCTCTGTTCTCACCCAGGCGGAAACGGAGGTGCAGAGAGGCAAAGTGACCTGGGGACCTGTCGCTGGTGCAGTGGGTTAGACCTCAGCACTGCTTTGTAGGTCACCCGACTGTGGTGACCTGGGACCGTGCCAGCTCCAAGGAAGACGACCAGCCAGTCACACAGGGATACAGGGAACATGCCCATTTTTATGAAGTGTTGATAAGGTAATAACTTTCTTTTTTTTTTTTTTTAAATTTATTTAATGAGCATAAATTTCCAAAGTACAGCTTATGGACCACAATAGCTTCTCACCCAACCCCGGCCAGTCTCCTTCCATCACATGCTCCTTCTCCCCACTCCTCTCTCCCGGATACGTATACTTTCACATACAAATGACTTTAGAGAAAGCCAAGGGGAATGGCTGACGATAAAGGTGATTGTTAGAGTCACTTGCACAGCAGGTGGCTTCTTCATCTTTGTGTCCTAGGTGCTCAGCAATTCAAGGAAAGCCCTCGTGGGACCCCGTAGATGACCTAGGCTCCAACGGGGTCTATGGAGAAACTCCAGCCTCTAGGCCGGTGGCTTTCAGCCTCTTAATCAGAGCAGCCCCGTCCAAGCAAGGCACAGACAAGGGTGGTGTTGAAATTCATACCATCTTTAAGCCTGCGCCGCGGCTCACTAGGCTAATCCTCCGCCTTGTGGCCCCGGCACACCGGGTTCTAGTCCCGGTTGGGGCGCCGGATTCTGTCCCAGTTGCCCCTCTTCCAGGCCAGCTCTCTGCTGTGGCCAGGGAGTACAGTGGAGGATGGCCCAAGTACTAGGGCCCTGCACCCCATAGGAGACCAGGATAAGTACTTGGCTCCTGCCATCGGATCAGCGCGGTGCGCCAGCCGCAGCGGCCATTGGAGGGTGAACCAATGGCAAAGAAGACCTTTCTTTCTGTCTCTCTCTCTCTCTCACTGTCCACTCTGCCTGTCCAAAAAAAAAAAAAAAAAAAAAATCCCATACCATCTTCGACCCTCATGCCGTAGGCCCTGGAAATTTTTCCTGATCAAGCTATGTGTGTGTGTCCACATGTGTGTGTCCGCACGTGTGTGTGTGTGTGTGTGCACACGCAAAGGTGTGAGTGCTTGCACTGACAAGCAAGACAGGGAGACTTGCTATACTCTTTCTGCACCTTTGGGTGCGTTTACATAGCAAGGTTGGGTAAGAGCTCCATAATAGGACTTGACTTGTTGGTCTCTCTGCTTTCACAAAGCCAATTTGATGCCAAGGGCATTCATTATTGCTTTGTCTTCCAAATAAGCCACCCAAATTCCAGCTCTCCATACCTTTCAAGTCTTGTGAGAAGCAAAATGCCCTCATGCCATCTCTGGGCCTCCCCTTACGTCTCATCCCTGCCCCAACCTGGACTTCTCTGGCCACATCACATCCATGCATCCCCCGTGGCTCCGAGGCCTGGCCAACATCGGCCTTATTGCAAGAGTCACTTCATTATTGTCTTATGTTCTGGAGCTTAGCAAGTTTACCTTCATGATTTTTTTTTCTTTTTGGTAGAAGTTGCATTGTCTCCTAGAGATGGGAGTGGAATAGAAATGGATGAATAATGCATTGAGATTTCCCCCACAGCTGCCAGAGGGCAAAACCCTCCTCTGTGTCAGTCTCATGGTGGGGCTTTCCCTTGGCATGCCTGGTGAGGGCCTTGTGTTGGTGATCTCTTCCTGTGTAAAAAAATTACTCCCAAACGTAGTCACTGAATATTTTTTATGCCGCCATGTCTTTGGGTCAGGAATCTACTGCCTGCCTTGGTCTCAGGGTCTGCCCATGGGGCTGCACTCATGGTTTTGGCTGAGGTTGTGGTCTCATCTGAAGGCTCAAGGGGAGGACGATCTATGTTCAAGTTCACTCGCTTGGTCCATGGCAAGATTGAGTTGTCCCAGGCTGGTGAACTGAGGGTCTCTGTTCTTTGCTGGCTGTTGACTGGAAATACTGCTTGGATCCCTGCCTCATGGGCTCTTCAGGGGCAGCTGGTATCCCTCAGAATGAATGAAAGAGAGACGGGGAGGGAGTGGGTGGTGGGGCTGGAGAGAGAGAAAGAATGATTACAATGGAAGCCAGAGTCTTGAAACGATCTCAGAAGTGAGTCCGTCCCTTGGACCATAGGAAGATTCTGTTTGTTAGAAGAGGAGGTCACTCTGAGTGGTGGCTCAGACATGAGGGGAGGAGATTTCACAAGGACATGAACTTCAGGAGCCAAGGTCCTTGGGAGCCATCTCCTGGGCTGCCTACCACAGGCCTCCTGTGACCAGTTGCTGCTGAGTCTTCGGGTCTGTTTCCTTGGGGGGCCCTGGGATGTTGATAAATGATGGGGTTGTGAGGGGCAGAGGAAAATGAGTTGCACGCTCACACTTGCTGGCATGGAATTCCAAAGACTTCTCAGGGATGAATAATTCTGAGTGTCTAAGCCAGTTACATAGAACCTCCACTTTCCCTTCCTACCCCACTGCCACTCCACGGACCACAGACAAACCCAAGACAGCATCCACACTCACCGTCCCCTCTCTGGGGTCTTTGCCGGTTCCTGGCTGACACGACCCTTCTGCTCTCTCTAGAGTTTATGCTCACCTTGCATGCCAGTGTCATTTAACTCTCCTGCTACCAAAATGAGCCCCAAGTCACAGACCAGAGAATGAAATGGACACAGATAGTTCATGGTTCCTGGTGTTCACCACTGAAGTTGACAGTCATAAAGCTCGTGAAATTCTTCCGCCTGTATTAATGGGATTGTCACAACATCCCATGGGACGGATGGCTCCCACCTTGGCTATAAGGAGTTGAGGTTCAGAAAGACGAAGGAACTTGCTGCAGAGTAGGCATACGGAGGTGAATCTGGATTTCAGAACCCCAAGTTCTGTGCTCCACCCTGCACCCCCTTTAACATTGCTTGCTTGCCTACGCACCTACCTCTCCAGATTGATTCTGGTAGGAATATGGCAAGACTCCTCGACCTGGTTGTGTGCATCAAGTCACTCCAGATTGCAGCTGGAGGGATCTGAGGTGGGAGATAGAACTCAGCCAGGGCAGGGAAGTCAAAGGCAGGAGGGGGTCACGGCAGGCATGGCTGGTGACTTTGGAGAGGTAAACACAGGTGTGTGCACATGTGTGTTTGTGGGCATGCTCATGCATGTATGTGTGACTTCTCGACTCCTTCTCATGCCCAGGGCTACATGGATGTCTTCCTTAGGACTGTGCATGTTTATGTGCAAGTGAACATGTATGTGGCTACAAGTAGACATTTGATGCCTCAGACCTGCCTGGGCTCAGGAGTGAGCTCTAGAGGTTGTCCTCTTGGTGAGAGGGTGATGTAAACAGGACTCTTGGGAAAAATTGGGAAGGTGGGATGGGCTTGGCGAGAGGTGGAGACAGCAGCATGTGGCAGGTGAAGGGTCCCCTGAACACATCTTCTAATCCCCTTTGCTCCAATCTCTTCCCTGCTCTTCATCCTGGTGGCTGGTTTTTGAGAGCATGTACTTGGTCATTAATTTTCCAGCCTAAATGTTGGTGCACACTGTTCTGGCACTATGGAAGACACCATCAGCCCGAATTTTCATGATGATAACATTCCAACAGATAGGCTCTTATCATGTGTCTAGGCCTGTGCTCAATGCTTATATGAATTATCTCATTAATTCCTCAAGAAAAGCTAAGAGGGGTTCTTATTGCCTCTGTTCTACGGGTGAGAACACTGAGACCAAGTTTAAGTATCTTGTTCCTGATCACACAGCTAAGTCATCTCCTGAACACATGCTTTTTAATTCTATGCCACATTTCACTCAAAACAATTGCTAATATGCAGCTTAACCACTCGGGGCAACTTTGGCTAATTCTCCAATCAGTTGCCTCCTTCATACATGGAAATATGCACAGAATAGTATTTCACAGACACAGCTGGACAGGAAGGAATGAGCTGACTTTCCTGCAATGCTACACACAGGTGATTCTCAAAAGCTAGACCTGGGCCATGCCGTGGCACAGCGGGTTAAGCTGTTGCTTGTGATTTCAGATATGAGCACTAGTTCGAGTCCCAGCTGCTCCACTTCCAATCCAGCTCCCTACTAAAGAGCCTGAGGAAAGCAGTAGATGATGGCCCAAGTGCTTGGGCCCCTGCACCCTCATGGGAGACCTGGATGAAGCTCCTGGTTCTTGGCTTCAGCCTGGCCCAACTCTGGCTGTTGCAGCCATTTGGGGAGTATGTCTTTCCCTCTATCTCTGTAATGCTGCCTTTAAAATAAATAAACAAATCTAAAAAAGAAAAAAAAAAAGCCAAACCTTCACTGAGGAGAGGAGGGGCCACACAACACCCTGCACAAAGGGCCCATTCCCGGATTTTAAGGGCATTTGATCCATCCCCCTGCCCTGCCAAGGACACACATTGAAGTCCTTGTTGTTTAATTGCATTTCTGACTCAACAAAAACTTCTTTTGTCAGAACTTCAACATTTCTGGCATGTTACCCACACACACAGTTTCTATATGTGGATTGCAGTGGTTATGTTTTGTTGTATAGTGTCTGTGTGTGTGCCTAGAAAGATCCACTTGAAACGAATGACTACAGATTTCTCCCCACTTCCAGTGACCTCTAGGGAAAGGAGCAACTGAAATTTCCACTTCCACTCCCAGGCACCAATGCTGTATGGTTTTGGCTGTCCATTGCCCCCGAAGTCATTCATCCTAGTTATGTTCCGTTATATTTTTGGCAGTTTACCTTTCTCTTTCTATGTGTTTCAGAAACCTAGTAAAATGAATGACACCAAGGACTTGCAGGAGCTTCCAGCTGGGAGAAGTGAGCAAGAAAAGAGGTCATATCAAGGTAAGCCGGACCGTAGTCAGTCCTCACCCTGTGAGACAACCTGTGGGCCAGGAGTTGACTGGAATTTAAAGATCTTGCTTCTGAGACTTAAGAAATACAATTTAAGGAGAGAGAGAGAGAGAGAGAGAGAGAGAGAGAGAAATCCACACCAACCAACACACCAATATGCTAGATGGTCCTGAGAGATGGGGTGCAGATCAGATATTGGGAGCACAGAATGGGGACTCCTAATTCCACTTAGAGGTTGGGACCAGGATCCCAAAGCACAGGGGCCATTGGAGCCATCTTGGAAAGAGATACAGAGTGAGTAGAACGCGAGGGCCACATATACACGCGTGTGATCAATATGATGGAAGAAAACAGATGCATGTGAAAAGACAGTCGCACCCACCAACAGCATATGGAAGATGCCTCAAGTGTGGCAGTGTTTGACGGTGATGAGACCTGGCCATGCCTGCTGGGCGTGGAGGGAATAGAGCCCCATGGGGCCACGTGGGAATGGAAATGGAGGTTTGGAGGAAAAGTGGAAAAGTTGGAATTTGGTACAGTTAGGCCCCATGGGCTCTTTTCATGAAAGACAGGATGTCATTGCACCTTTGAACCATGCCTGAATCCCAGACGCCCGTGGTTCTGAATGCTCGAGTTGTTGCTCTTCACTGGGCACTGGCAACGTAGCAGGTGTTCTGTGTGTAGTATCTCACTCTTCTTTACAGACGTCCCACAGGAGAGGTGTGTCATTTCCATGCTGCAGATGGGGAAAATGTATGGCCTGGAGAGAGAGGGCAAGTGCTTTACCCCCTTAGAGGAGTAAGGTGAAGCACAAGGATTTGAACGCAGGCCTTTCCACTAGCCAATTTGCTTATCATACGTTTTTGATAATGTCTCATTGTTTGGCATTTGACCTCTAATAGTAGAGGTCAAGTCAGCTAGTCTGCTGATCTGTGCTTTCCACTGTGTTCTGTACAAGGGCGTGGCTACCAGATGAATGGACTTTCCATGATCCTTGGAGATTCAAGGGGAAGTTTCAGTGACATTCATTCATCTAATGGTTTTGGTCCCAGTGCCTGGGGAACCCACCCTCATGGAAATTTCTAGTTGGTTAAGAGAAACCATAAGAAATGCCAGGAGGTTTAGTGTCATGCAGAGAGATAAATTGGGAGAAGTGGTAATTACTGGTGGATGCAATGGGTAGAAAGGGAAAGGCTCCACTGAGGAGGTGACATTTTGGGTGAGTTCTGACTTATAGGAAGAAATATCCCACATGAAGATTTGGGTCAAGTGCATCCCGAGCAGAAGCTCGAGGTGTTTAAAGAAGAGAAGGAAGGTCAGTGTGGCCAGGTCCAGTGAGTGAAGGGGTGAGTGGCTCTGGCTAAGACTGGACAGGTTGACAGGGGCCAAGATCAAATAGAGTTTTGTAGGTCAAGATTAGGAACATTGACTGTATCCTAAATGAAGGGGAAGCCACTGGAGTTAGATAAGGAAAGGATTTAATTTTAAAGATCATCACCCTGGGTCTACTGCAGAGAAGGAATTATAGGGGGAAAGGCGAGGCCGGTTAGCAGCTGCTCAGCAGCCCCGTTAGTAGATGTTAATGTCTTGGACTAGGCTGGAGATGTAGAAAAGTTAAGTAATGGCAGGCTGTTGGGGAGGGTAACGGCCTGGATGTACTCAGTGAAGAAGCTGGAGGACTTTCGACAAACCTGAGATGTTTGAATTGGGCAATCTGGGCCGGCACCGCGGCTCAATAGGCTAATCCTCTGCCTGCGGCGCTGGCACACCGGGTTCTAGTCCTGGTCGGGGCGCCGGATTCTGTCCCGGTTGCCCCTCTTCCAGGCCAGCTCTCTGCTGTGGCCAGGGAGTGCAGTGGAGGATGGCCCAAGTGCTTGGGCCCTGCACCCCATGGGAGACCAGGAGAAGCACCTGGCTCCTGCCATCGGATCAGCGCAGCATGCCGGCCACAGCGCGCCGGCCGCAGCAGCCATTGGAGGGTGAACCAATGGAAAAGGAAGACCTTTCTCTTTGTCTCTCTCTCTCTCACTGTCCACTCTGCCTGTCAAAAAAATAAATAAAAATAAAAAAATAAAATAAAAAATGAATTGGGCAATCTGCTGAATGATGGAGCCTCATCCTGAGGTGGGAGAGACCAAGGGGAACATTTTAGGGAGTAAATCAAGAGTTTGAGCCGGGAGAAGCTTGGGATCTCTTTCCACATACAAATGCAGGTGTAGAGATGGCAGTTGGATTTGGGACAAAGTCAGCCTTAGAGTTAAGATTTGGCAAATGGATGGAAGGTAAGACCACAGAACTGGCCGATGTCACCTTGGGTGGATGTGGAGGCAAAGAAAAAGGGTCCAGAAGTCACCACCGGACACCACCAAGGATGTCAGTGAGTGATGTGGGAGGTTCCAAGAAGGAGAGAAGGAAAATGGTGTGAGAACGACAGTGGGACGACTTGTCTCTGGGTGCTGGGACCTGTGTGTGAGGAGGGGGACGGTGGCCAGGCTTTCCCCGGGCCGGGAGAGAGGGCGCGGCCTCAAGTGATGATCTGAGCCAGGGCGGTGTGGCTCTGCGTGGGGATGTCTTCCAGCTTCCTCTTCTTGTCTTCAGTTTCCGACTGTGAAAGCAATTTTATCCATTTGCTCAAGGCCCCAAGAAAATCCCATATGATTCTCCCAACATGGTACCTGTAACACAGTCATTTTTACCTTCCTCTGCCAGCACAAGACAGATTCCATCCTGGAAGGGTTGGGAAACAGTTGCCGGCATTGGTTGAGCTACACGCTGGTTTTTGGAGGACTTGCAGCAAATTAGAAGTGGGGAGAGAGACAAGAATTCAGGGCAAAGGCAACTGTACATGTGGAGGATAAAGGCACGAGTGTGGAGAGCATTAGGAATGGTGGGGCGCTTGGAGTGACAAGTGTATGTTTGTATGTGTGTGTTTGAGTGTAGGTGTGTGTGAGCATGGGTGCATGGGTGCATGGGCCTGCATGTACATGTTTGTATATGTGGGTATATGCACTATGAGTGCAAGTACATGTGTGTACACATGTGTATATGAGTATAGGTTTGTATTGTGATGTATGTATTTTTGTTTGTGCATGTATGCGAATGTGTGCACATGTGTATGCTTATGCATGTGTACATGGTTAGTGTGCACATGGACACATTTGTGCATATATGTATTTATATGTGCTCACACATATTTCTGAGCATGCATGTGCATGTATATGTTTGCATATGTTTGTGACTATGTGGATAGGTGTGTTTGCATATGTGTACATGCATGTGCAGGGGAGAGTATGTAGAGAGAGTATCATGGTGGTAGATGCTGAGATTGGGAAGTTTTCATGGGACTAGGGGACTAGATCTTGTTTTTTTTTTTTTTTTTAAATTATTTATTTGAAAGGCAGCATTAGAAAGAGAGGGAGAGACAGAGAAACGGAGAGATCCTCCATTCACTGATTCACTCCCCAGTGGCCACAATTGCTGGAGCTGAACCAGGCTGGAGCCAGGAGCCAGGAGCCAGGAGCTTTTTCCAGGTCTCCCATGGGAGTGGCAGAGCCTCAAGCACTTGGGCCATCCTCCACTGCTTTTCCCAGGCCATTAGCAGGGAGCTGGATCAGAAGTGGAACAGCTGGGACATGAGCTGGCACCCAGTTGGGATGCTGGTGCATCAGGCAGTGGCTTTTTACCTGCTACGCCACATCGCTGGCCCTAGGACTAGATCTTGAAGGGTTTTGTACCCTTGTACTAAGGGCTGTGCGTTCTATCTTCCTGGCAGTAGAAAAAGCGTGTGATGTGATCAGCTCTCACCCAGTTGGCTCTCTCTGCTTTGGGCATCATGCCTACTGTAGCACGCAGCACGTTACAGGCAGTCAGTAAACTTTGGTTGGTCACATGAGTGCTTATGTCTAGAAGTGATTATGCTTGTCCTTGCCCTATGGACGATGAACTGGAGGGAAATAAAACACGGGTAAGGAGACGTGTTTGGGGACCAGAGCCTGAATCCAGGGCATCAGAAGGGAGGAGGCACTGAGTTCCTGCTTTGAGGGTCAGGAATGACGGTGATAGTTTGGGCTGATATTGGATACTGCCATTGGCTTCGAAGAGGCTTAAATTTAATGGAAGGGGACAAACACTAAGAGGAACTTGCTTAGTAAGCAGTTGGAAACAGCAATCTAGTCTCAGACAAGAGGTGTGCCCTAGGAACATATTTTGATAATTATCAAGTTCCCAGTGGTACTGAAGGCATACACTGATAGTGTTTTGGTGGGGAAGTGATGAATTCCGACAAAACTTAAAGGAAAATTTTAGCACTTCAGATGCCAGAATAATCACTTACCATGGGACACCTAGGAGTTACTTAAGAGTGTCAATTTTCAGAAAGCTGCTTTGTGAGGAAAGCAAAGGGGATTGCTCTCATCAGCTCATACAGACAATGGATCCCACCTCCTACCCCCCTTATTCACTTGCTTTTCTGGGACTCATTTGTGCTGTTTCCAAGTCCATCTCCCTTGCACAATGCCAGGGAAACCATGCAAACATGTCTTTTCCAGTCTTACTTGCTTTCTAATAGGTAATGTGGGACAACACCAAGCAATTTCCTTTTCTGGAAAAAAGAAATAGCTTTGGCCAGAGCCGCGGCTCACTAGGCTAATCCTCCACCTTGCGGGGCTGGCACACCAGGTTCTAGTCCCGGTCGGGGCGCCGGATTCTGTCCCGGTTGCCCCTCTTCCAGGCCAGCCCTCTGCTGTGGCCAGGGAGTGCAGTGGAGGATGGCCCAAGTGCTTGGGCCCTGCACCCCATGGGAGACCAGGAGAAGCACCTGGCTCCTGCCATCGGATCAGCGCGGTGCGCCGGCCGTGGCGGCCATTGGAGGGTGAACCAACGGCAAAGGAAGACCTTTCTCTCTGTCTCTCTCTCTCTCACTATCCACTCTGCCTGTCAAAAAAAAATTGCTTTACTGAGATGTAATTAATATATAAAAGTCTTCACATGTT